ATGGTCAAACATGGCAACCCTCAACATTTCCCTTCCTGGCTTTGCTTTAATCTCAGTTCTAACCACCTAGCACAGTGAGCATCTAACTATTATAATGGGGGTAATGTTTGCCCAGTTGAACTGGAAGCACCGTCAGTTCTGGGATCTATTTGTTTTTTACAGCTGCATTTTCAGCATCCAGAAGAACTCCTGGAACTTAGCAGACCTGTAAATCTCCATTTGCTGTACACAGACTGGAATCATTCTCTTCAGGTTGCTGGGAACCCAGTCTCTGCATTGCATTGGGTAGACATGCACCGAGTCTCAATGTGGTACATGAAGAAAGGACTTTTGCCAGGAAATGGAACCACCCAATCTGTCCCTCAACAGATGAATCGATGAAGAAAATGTAGTGCGTGTACACAACGGAATTTTATTCGGCCATAAAGAAAAAGGAAAGTGTGACATTTGTCAGAAAATAGATGAAACTTGTAAAGTAAGCCAGACTGAGAAAGACAACTACTTCATGTTTTATCTCATACAGGGAAATTGTGGAGGGGGGAGTGAGGGGGCTGTTGGGGGTGTGTGTTTATGCATGTGTGTGCACGAACATGTGTGGAGGTGGTATTTAGGGGTGTGTGTAGTAACTAGAACAGGGATCATGAGAGATGAGGGAGAGATCTTAAAGGAGAGAGGAGAGAGGAATATATGCGGCATGATAGCAGAAGTAGGGATCACCTGGGGGGAAGGGATAGAACCTACCAGAAAGACACAGGGAGTGTGGGTGCAGATTCGGGGAAGGACACAAACCAGAATGAAGTATAATGACATGTGTGCATGAAATGTCCTGACAAAAACCTATTTCTTTGTATGCTAACTTTAAAAATTCATAGTCACGAGCTGGCAAGTTTGAAATTCCATGTATTTAATATATAAAATAAAGTGTTCATTAAAATGTTTTAAAGCTTGTCTGGGGATATGGCCCAGCAGGAAAGAACATTTGCTCAATAAATATGAGGACATGACCCATGCTTCTGTAACCCCAAGTGCTGTAGTGTGTGTGCGTGTGTGTGCAGGAGGGTCACACAGGCTTCCTGGCTGCCAGCCCAGCCCCAGGTCCAGTGAGAGACCCCGTCTCAAGGGAGTAAGGAGAAAATTGACAAAGATAACCGACTTCCTGCTCTGGCCTCTGAGCATTGCACACACAAGTGCACACACACTGACACAGCACACACAAGTGGACACATCCCCCCCACACACAAGTGCACATATAACACAGAGAGAGAGAGAGAGAGAGAGAGAGAGAGAGAGAGAGAGAGAGAGAGAGAGAGAGAAGAACAGATATGAAAATTTGGAATAGTTGAGTGTGAGAAAAGTAAACGAAGCCCTCAATTTCAGGTGGGATGGATTTTGTGTCCTTGCTGTTCTTCCTTTTTGATGGACCCACCTCGTGTCTTAGCAAGATATTTAAATGTTTACCTTCCGCATGAAACATAATTTTGGCTGAACCCTTTTTCAAAGCAATATCATAGCTCCGCTTTGAAATCACTTGGCAATGCGCAGCATGACTCACTTAATTTACATTGGCTCTGACTCTCAGCAGTCATCAATTCTTTGTAAGTGAACTAAAATCTAAACTAAAAACTGTTTCAAATGTAGTTAAATTTTTATGAGCAATCAATTTGTCCTATGATATTCGTCCATCTACTTAAACGCTTGTGAACTTGCAATTCACTGTTTCTCATGTAATTTAAGACAGCCATTACTTTCTTTTGAGATCCAGCCCTGTTTATGGGCTGCCGCCTTTTCATCAGGCCTCGGTCTTGAACCCTTTAAATCTCCTCCATCAACTTCCCTGGTGGGAGTCAGAAAAATGAAGTCTCACTTTCCTGAGTGCTCATACAGGTCCCGGGTTTGTAGTGGAGTTGCTATGATGTTCCGTGGCGGTGTGGAGAAGTCGCAAAGTCAAGGTATGCCTCACTACAGTGGCCTTGAAGCCGGGATCCCTACCCACGCCTCCTGACAGCCAACCTAAGTTCCTGGGCATTGGTGACCAGGTGGACCTTTTCGCTCCACCTCTACCACCACCATCCCCTGGGCCCTGATGGCAGATCTATGTTCCTGGCATTTTATGAGACTTTAGTAGAGCTCTGTTGATTCATGTGAGGCGAGAGGGGGAAGCGTTCTGTAGCAGAGGCCACATGGGAGAACAGATCAGTTAGTCACATCATATGCCAAGGCCCGCTGTTGACTGCAGAGCGAGTTTTCATCACGCAACCTCGAAGCTGTGCCTCATTTGCAAGGACATTAGCCTTGGTGGTTCGTCCTCCACTTGAGCTGTCAGTTGCTGAGGTTTACTGGTTGCACTCTGGCACAGGCTGGTGTATCGACCACCAAGGAGGCTCCCTTTGAAGGGGTCCTGCCAAACCTCCTCTGGATTCAGAGGGGATGTGTTTCTTTCCTAGCCAGTGCTGTCTAGAAAAAAAAAACTTTATAAAACCAAAAGCAAGCTACTAGTGGACAGATGTCACTCAGAGCCACCAGATCCTTCTGTTTGTTTTTCTTGCTAACCCAGCACGACTTTGAACCCACACTGTAAACAAAGGAGACAGGAGCACAAAACGCTGCACTTCCGACTTCCTCCCAGGGTGCTGGCATTTCCAAACCACACGTTTTCCTAAACAAAATCTCATGAAGATATATTTAATTTAAAAAAAAAAAACACTGTTTTTAAGGGTTTGGCATTGTGACACACTCCTATAATCTTATCAATACTCAATAGAAATGGAAGAATTGAGAGTTTGAGGCCAGCCTGAGTTACAAAGTAAGACCCACCTCTAAAGAACAAACAAACAAGCCCCCAACACACACACACACACACACACACACACACACACACACACACACCTGCATTCAGGTTATTAGAACCCAAAGAAGAGAGGCTGCCTGTAGGCTCAGGGAGGACTCTCCCAGGGTGTGTGCTGTTTCCACCCCTTAATAGCAGCGACACCCTGGAGAGAGAAAATTGAGAAGTGTGTGAAACCATCTATTCCCACCAGTCAGCAACAATCTACAGCAAGCAGGCAGTCATTTTGGTAGATATTTGCCAGATAAAAAGAGCAGTTGATAGAATTTAAAACATGCCACGATCTTCCTCGCTCCTCAGGGGTTACGACAGATATCTGCTTCTCCCCTTCCCTGCTGGGACCCCCTTTCCTTCTCCTGTGTGGCTTTTCCTTAGGAAGACAACCCTCTTCCATTCTCTTTGGTGATCTGGATGGGACTGGCCCCTCCTCAGGAATAGACTTTACCCAGCTCCAGCCAGTCAACACATCTTCCTTAAGCCACATTGATGGGTCAGGGTTGAACCAGTCCATCCCATTTGGGCTAGTAAGAGAGGTGGTGATCACCGGTTCTTGGTGACAAAATCCGGTCAGCTGTGGAGCCTCCAGGGCAGTTTTCTCTTGTGTGGTGAGAGTCCAGAACTGCCAATTATCGCTTCAGAGATGACAGATGGCAAATCCTGTGCAACATGGACTTACTCGGGGCCAGATCTGCTGCTAGACTTTCAGATATTTGAGCAAATAAATTCCCCGTTCTCTATTACTTGTAACTGCAAGAGACCTAAATTATTCAAGGCTGTGAACTCTCTTCCCAGCCAGGTCAACATCTAAAGCCATGGCTCTCAACCTTCCTAATGCAGTGACCCTTTTTAATAAGTTCCTCAGGTTGGGGTGACCCCCAACCATAAGATCATCTTCTCTGCTACTTCATAACTGTAATTTTGCTACTGTTGGGAATGTAATGTAAATATCTGTGTTTTCCGATGGTCTTGGGCCACCCCTGTGAAAGGGTCAATTGACCACTGAAGGGGTCGCGACCCAGAGGTTGGGAACTGCTGATCTTGTGGTCAGAGTGTTTTTCTTTCTGGCTCTTTGTCACCTCCAAACATTTCTCCCTCTCTCTTTTCTTACAGAACACACACCCAGGAAGCTTAGGCAGCTTGCCCTTTGGGCATCTGACCTGTCATCACGCTAGTTGACCCTAAACTCCTTGCCCCAGAGTTGGGCACATGGCCCAGGCACAAACAGGGCAATCCTTTTAAGGGACCATTTGAATAGATCAGGAAAAGGTAGATGCTGTCATGATGGTCTATGAAAATAAGTCTGGGATCTTTTATTCTCATTCCTACTGAAAAGGCAACTGCCTGGGTTTGCTGAAGGGGTGTATGAAGAACAACCCTGAAAAGGCAGTAGTACAGAGGAAAGAAAGACAGGAGATGCAGGCATGTTGAGAAAAGACGGAGTCCTAACAGTGTAGGATCTGGCCACATCCGAAGTAAGTGAAACAATAGCTTCCCACTTACTAAGACAGTTGGAGATGGGTTTTCTATCACTTGGACGATAGAATCTTGACTAATGTAGATAAGAATTTCCCCAGACTAACAAACATTTATTTGTATTTATTATAATATGCCTGGCTCCCTAGTCTAAAATTAATGAATGCGTAATGCAGAAAATCTGAGACACAGAAAAACACAGAGAAGAGAAAGCAAAATTCCCTTTGAACCCAACAAGTCTGAACTTGTGGCTACTGATGTCTTAGAGTGTGTCGTTTTCCATGCACTATTTGTGAGTCAATACATAATGTCCATGTTATACGCCTGCACCACAGCCTAGTTAACTAGTTACCTCTTTTCAACAGCTGACGGCACTGTTTTCCTTCCCCTGTCTCCCTCCCTCCCTCCCTTCCTCCCTTCCTTCCTTCTTTCCTCCCTCCCCCACCCCTGTTGTTCACTAGTTATTATTATCATGAGCATCTGTGATGATGAATCTTAGCCCACAGGCATGGTCACTCTTCACAATGGCTTTGCATGCCCACACGTGTGCTCGGGTTCTCTTTTACCCACTGTTTTTAAACATCTTTAAGTGAGCATGTTTATACATTGTTTTGCATGGGATAAACTCCTAGAAGCAGAATTGCTGAGTAGAGGCAATGCCTGCTCAGGCTTCTGATAATACCTTGCAAAATTGCTGTCCAGCAGGCCACTTGAACGTTTCCCTTGGTGACTCATCTATGGTCTCTGGATGGTTCTGTTCAAATTAAGAAGAGCATGTTTTTTTATTGTAATGTTATTGATTTGCCTCTTCATAACTAAAATTTCTTTTAATTTTTTGGTAGGAGGAAACTAAGCCTATAAGGGTATGTGGCCTACTCATTTTTGTTTGTTTTCTGTTGGCATTGGTTAGAAACATTTGGTGGATATTCTTTTGAGTTTTTGCTGCCAATTTCCTCTAACACTGGCCTGACCTGTCACAAATGAAATAAAATGACTGGAGAAGCACTATTGTATTGTTACAATAGCTAACAAAAGAGGTTTGGTCCAGACTTTAGGGGCTCCAATCCCAGTGCAACTATTTTGTAGCTGTTTGATAACACTGTTTTAAAACCAAATCTTTGTGCTTTAGTTTTCCCATTGATAAAGTAGAAATAATAGAAATGTTGTTGTTTGAATGTAGCAGGTCCCTACTGTTGATGCTTTGAACACTTCGGTCCCCTAACTGGTGGTACTGTTAGGGGAAGTTGTGGAAGCTTTGGGAGGGGGGAGCCTCACTGGAGGAAGTCAGTCACTGGAGGGTTGGCCTTATGAGCTGTGGCTTGGCCAGCTTCTTCCTGAGTTCTCTCCACTTGCTAGTTTGCTGAGATGTGAGGAGTCTTGGACACACACTCCGACTGCAATGAACTCTACCCCACCTTCTCCACCACGGTGGACCTCAACTTCTAAAATCCTGAGCCCAAACAAGTCCTTTTTTTCTTAAGTTGTTTCTGTCAGGTGTTCTGTCTCAGTAACAAATGAGGACAGTAACTAGCACAAGCACCCACTTTATAGGATTGTTATGATACCAAGGAATGAAGCCCCACGGCAGGCCTTGGTACAAGTTAAGCTTTCACTGGGCGTTAGCTATTAGTAATGGATGTATGTAACAATACCCAGCCCATTTGAGTGTTTACTGTGATTCAGTCAATAGAAACAGCCATTTGTTCTTCAGCTTTTAGTATCCCTTACTGTCTTTAAGGGAAAATTATGCAGGAGAAAGAAACACATAGTGTTACTGCCAACCATCCTTTGAATTCCAAAGGAACTCTCCTTACGAGGATGCTAGGGCTGTTACAATCATAAGTGCTTCTCTTCTTGCAGTGTTCCTTTCAGATTTCTCGATTTGAGTCACTGTCACCGTTGATGCTGACGTGACCCTTGTTGGATGGGATTCAGCTACAATAGTCAGCAGCCCTAACAATACACCCAGTGAAGGCTGACCTAACGACGTTTCAACTTCTCCTCATGAAAGTTAGTGCCCCAAGCTGGAAAGATGGATGTTTACAGTGGTTCTGGGTGTGGGCAGTGACGTAGATTGAGGGAACGGAGGAGAGTAAATTATAATTAGCAATAAAAGATAAACCCTTCCTGGGAAATAATAATCATTACAACACAGGAAGGAACCTCCCAGACGTGTAACCCAACCCCCCACTGAGACGAGGGAGGTGGCAGGCTCTCCTCTAAACAGGTTACATAATATTCTTTTTCTTGACCAAGTTTCACAACCTCTTTTTATGAATTATTAATGTGCTCATTCATTTATATCATGGGGAAAGGTAACTCATTTTTAATTTTTAACCACACTAGACTGGCCTCCCCATGATGCTTTCTGGTGCTCCGAAGCCCACTGATTTCCTAGCCCGACTTTTATTCCCCACCACAGATTGAAATGACGAGTTACTCACAGAGATAGAAAGCCCTTATTTTCACTTTCCCCAAATGAAAACACTCATCTGTAACTATGCTTCTTCCTCAAGGATCTCACCTGAGTCACCACACCCATCAGCCCAGAGGCTCAAACTTGGCCCGGAACCCACTGCAAGTCAAGCAACTGTTTTTCCCGGAGTGGAGCTTTGAGGGTAACCGAGGATGCCCAGCAAACCCGTGCCTGGAGATTCTGATTCTGAAGATGGCTTCTCCAAGACTGTGATGGACAGGCGCGGCGATAAGGGGGAAATGGAAAGTGTCCAAGAGGCAGGTTGGAATTCCCCAGCTCTAGACCTGGTCCTGGCTCCCTTTAGTCGTGTAGTCCCCAAGGGAGGCCTCGGCTACCCTGCACCTCCGTTTCCTCTTTTATGAAACAGGCCTGGCAGAGGACCAAAGGGCTGTGTGTACATGAGTGCCGCCCATTCTGATTACTGCTCCTGGGTAGACAATGTACGTCAGTTCGGGACATTAATTTTGGCCGCCTCCTGGAATCTAGCCTCCGATACCTTAAATGGAGGCCACCTGACCTTTGATCTCTAGCTTGGCCTGAAACCCTTTTGCGCTGGAAGATTACCAAATCACCTTGCCGTGTTCAAATCATCTTTGGACTAGCCTATTGCATGGACGGTGAATTCCTGATGAAATGACGTTTTTAAAACTGCACTGTGATATTGCTTCACAAGTGTGTGCCTGACCAAGAACAATGCTGGAAAGCCATGTGCCTGGGAGTGCAGCACCTCCAAATCTTGCTTCTGTTGTTACTGACTCGGTGACAGTGGCCAAGTGGTTTAGTTTCTTGGTCAGGCTCCTCACTGGTGCAGTGCCATTCCGTTCTCTCTGGTTTTACTGTGAGAGTCAAAGGCTCTGGGACTGCCCCCAAAGGACTCCAAAGCAGCCGCAAAATCACTCTAGAGAAGGAAGGGTGCTTCATAACCATTCAGTCCTAAACACACACATACGCTCTCTCTTTTTCTCTCTCCACGCCATCTCCCCTTCTCTCTTGTGTTCCCACTTGTGTGTGTGTGTGTGTGTGTGTGTGTGTGTGTGTGTGTGTGTGAATGTGTGTGTTCATGTATGTGTAGAAGTCAGAGGACAATCTGTGGTATTGTCCCCTAGGCACTGTCCACTTTTTTATTCAGACGTTATTCTGGATCTCTATCTAGTCCAGGTGAGGCAGGCTGGCCAAAGGGCCCCAGGAATCCTTCTGCCCCAGGACTTACAAGCATACTCTGCCACACCCAGGGTTTTTGCTGCTATTATTTATTTTATTTTAAATCAGGGGTTCTGAGGATCAAACTCAGCTCCTTGTGCTTGCAAAACAAGACTTACTGACCGAGCCAGCTCCCTTGCCAACCTTGAAGCTCATTTTCTACAGCTGGACAAAAAAAAAAAAAAAAAAAAGTCAAAGGAGTTCAGTGATTTGCCTGAGGCCACTTAGCAACTGTCTGAGCTGAAATCAATACTGGCCCAGCTCAAGTTTTTAAAGCCCTGGTCAGCCCTTTCTGTAACTCATCTTCAGGATCATGGGGGAGGGAGAGCAACAGGGGAGGGGGGAGGGACGAGGGGGAAGGGGGAGGGAGAGCAAAGGAAGCTGCCACAAGCAGATGTGAAATTTTCTGGTTTTCCTGACACACATACACAGAAAAAAAAGGATAATCTGATCGTAGACGAATGGCACAATTATTAATCAAAGTCTGGGGCTGAGCAAGCCATCATCAACTATCCAAGGCAGAAGTTATTAGCGGCCATGAAAGTTATTTTTTCCTTTATTTTCATTTCATTAGGACTAAATCTTGCTGCTGTGTTTGGTCCTGGCAGCATTTTGTGACATATGTGGATAGGGTCCTGTTCAGTCTCTGTCGTCTGGGGCACTGTGTGCATGTGTGTTGGGCAGGAACTCTAGGATGACTTCAGTAAGCAACACAATCCGATAAAGGGGCAGCTCAGCATTGTCCCCACAGAGACAGGGCTACGAATTTCCTTAACATCCTGCCCACACGTGCAAGATAGTAAAACACCACCCAGAACTGTGATTCAAGGGATGGCCTTCCACTCTGTTCTAGCTTACTGGCCTGCAGCAACCAAGATCAGCAAACAGATTTCTCCGTGAAATCGAGCTCCCTCCAGAGAGCAGCACTCTCTGCACATTTGAATTTGGAGGGGAGAATTGCATAACTGCTTACTCAACCTGACAAATCCTTGCAAATGACCCCCCTGTTTCATCTCTGACTAAACAGGCCTATTGACACATGCAAATGGCCTTGTTTGACCAGGACTCAGGGACAGTGCCCTCGGCACCTCAGCTAAACTTTAACCCCCAGATCGTATCAGTCTTTACTTTTGTTTCATTTACTTATCAGTCTGGAGATTGAATCTAGGGTTTGAACACGCTAGGCAAGCACCCTACCACCAAGCTACACCTACAGCCTTTATTGTAATTCAGTTTTACTTATTTTAGACAGGGTCTTGTGAACGTGCTCGGGCTGGCCTGGAACTTGCTGCCTAACACAGAGTGACCTCGAGATCTGCCTGCCTCAGCCTCCTCGGCACTAAGATACCGTCCTACACTGCTATACCTCACTCACTTCTGTTCTTCAACTCGACTCGATGACCTTTGCAGTACGGTAGCTGCTCTATTTCATCGTTTTCTCTGTTTTTTAATTAATTAATTAATCAATTAATTAATTTTACATCCCGACCACAGCCTCCCCTCCCTCCCATCCCCCAATCCATCCCACCTCTGTATCCATTCAGAAAGAGGCAGGCCTCCCCGGGGCATGAGCAAAGCACGGCATATGAAGCTGCCCTAAGACCAAGCACCTCCCCCTGTATTCAGGCTGGACAATGGAGTCCAGCATGAGGATGTTAGTTACTTCAAGTGTGTGTGACATCCTCCTTCTGCAGACCCGACATTCCTCTCAAACTAACTTCCACCGCACGACAGCACAGGCCATGGAGTTAGGTGTGGGCCTCACAGAACTCTCAAACTGTTCAGTGTTTGCATTTATCTGTTAATAATATTGTTAATCAACCTCTGCCATCATCTTCTACAACTGGGCATTCCAGAATCATCCATTGTAGCTTCTTCAGTTTATCAGGTCTCAAATGTTTTCATTTTGTGCCTAAGATCACATAGAACCAGAACCCCAAGGCCCTCCATTTTTAAAACCATTTAAGATGTCAGACTTATAAAGCAAAGTGGTCATTTATGAAGTATCTTTGCACAGATGCCAGAGATACCCTGATTTACCTTCTGACTCCCACGATCCCCTCCTCAAACTGGCTTGTTTGTATGTATGTATTTGTTTATGGCTTTTGTGGTGCTGGGATGGAACTCAGGGCTTTGTACATGCTAGAAAAGTGTTCTACAACTAAGCTACATTCCCAACCTGCATCCGGGGTTTAGCCTATGAAGACTCTTCCTTCAGAAAAAGAGTAATTTACCTGCATGAACAGGTTAGCCTATACCTCTGTGATCCGTGATCTCAACATGGGCATATGCCCATTTTCAGTCCCAAAAAAGAGATCATTTTGTATATGCAGGTGCCCAAAGGGTCTAACCCACCACAACTTAAGTATAGCTTGTTTTCTCTCTCTCTCTCTCTCTCTCTCTCTCTCTCTCTCTCTCTCTCTCTCTCAAGATAGGGTTTCTCTGTGAGGCAGTCCTGGCTGTCCTGGAACTCACTCTGTAGAGACCAAACTGGCTTCAAACTCACAAAGATCCACCTGCCTCTGCCTCTCAAGTGCTGGGATTAAAGGTGTGTGCCACCACTGCCCAGCCAAAGTATAGTTTATTCTATAGTTATTTTAGTGATTTACTACTAAGACACAGACACAGAGACAAAAATGCCATGTCACCAAAAGGGCAATGGGAAATTTGCCTAAGAGCCTTTTGAGAACAAAAATAAATTCTGATGAGAGACTACCACATCTTAGATGCTATGTTTCCATTCTTACCTTCAAAAATAAGGATGTCTGAGTGCAGGCCTGGTGGACCTTCTAAAACAGGTTCTGGAAATTGTGATCTCTTAGAGCAGGAGGCATCATACCCTCTGGGGATAAGGGTTAGAGATGAAGAGTCTCAGCTTTCCAGGTCACATTCTCTGTATTGAAACTACACGGGTCTGTCCTTGTAGTGAAAAAGCAGCTTTAGATAATACACAGGCTTGGAGGATTTCAATAAAACTTTATTTACAAAAGCACATGTGTAAGGCCCAATTTTGTCCTTATGCTAGTTGCTGAACTCTGTCTTGTTTAAAGAAGCTATTGAATGAGAACAATAAGGCTCACATATCTGCCACGTCTACAACACGTACTGACTTCAAGAGACTTCGGTCCCTATTGGTGGTGGTTGTGGGATGAAGACAAATTTCAACAAAGATTTCTACATCCTGGACAAGGTCGGGGTGGTGTTAACACTTGACAGTAAAAATCGACAACTCCACAGGCTGATTCTCTGAAGGCACAAGACAAATGTAACACTGGGTTCTTTAAGCTGTGATTTACCTTTCTGGGCGACTCAAGGAAATCAGCTTGTTGGCAAGCGACTGTGGTAAAAACAATCTTCTCGCCCTGAGGCCTCACTCCATGTGGGAAACCCCACCCTGATCCTCCACAGGTAGGCTTCTGCTTTTTCTAGAAACCTGATATCTTCAGAATCACAGGCTCGGCACTGCATAGGCAAGCAGGTGGAGTCTGCCAGGCTCAGGCTGGTGCTTGTCCAACTAGAGAGAGAGAGAGAAAAAAAGATGACTCTTGAAGTCTATCATTTCTTCCCTCCTCAAAGCCAACCAATGGGGACTCTGCTCTTTACTACCCCCCAACATTTGAAATAAGTAGATATCATTTTACCTTCCTGTTTAATATTTACCTTTACATGCTATCTAGTGAGATCATTCATATTGACGCATAAGCAATAGCAGAGGGTCTACTTCTCTTTTCTTTCTTTCCTTCTTTCTTTCTTTAATGGGAAAAAGAAAAAGACCTGGCACCAGACAAGCCAAAAGCTACTAAGAAAAGTTAATCAAAACTGTAACGATCTTCTGGATTGACACAAACCCCTCGAAATCAGTGAGTGCTGAGAGTCACCCCAGGAAAAGCAATCAAATATAAGCAGGGCAAGGGAAGACTTTATCTTTCTGGGAACCAGATATATTCGCATGAACCTGAGTGATCTGATCGTTATGGGGCCAAGGCCAAAGGAGTTGGGGTTCAGTCATGGCATGAGTCGGCAGGAAGGAAAGGAATTTGGTGTTTTTTTTCCCTCCTCCTTTTTGTATTTCCTAAGAGTCAGGTTCATTAAGCTATTACAGCAGATGGAAATCATCCTTTTCA